TCCTCCTGCCTCAGCCTCCCTGAGTGCTGGGATTACAGGCATGCGCCACCACACCCGGCCAGAACACACATTCTTCATAGCAGCACATGGAACTTTCTCCAAAATAAATCACATGCTAGCCAATAAAATTAGCCTGAAGTAAATGTAAAAGAATTGATATTATACCATGCATAGTATCACATCATAGTTCAGTGAAAGTAGAAAGCAACAACAGAACAAAACACAAAAATTAAGCAAATGCACAGAAACTAAACAACACACTCTTGAATAAACAGTGGGTTACAGAAAAAATAAGACAGTTTCCAGAACTAAACAATAATGCCAGTATAACACACTAGAACTTATGGGACACAATGGAAGCTGTCCTAAGAGGGAAGTTTACAGCTGTGCATGCCCACATCACAAAAACAGAGTGACCCAAATAACTAATCAAATGATGCACCTCAAGGTCCTAGAAAAACAAGAGCAACCAAACCCAAAGCTAGTACAAGGAAGAAAATTACAAAGATCAGTGCAGAAATCAATGAAATTAAGACAAAAATAGATAAATAAATAAAAAGAAAGCAATACAAAGAATTGATGAATTGAAGAGTTGGTTCTTCAAAAGAATAAACAAAATACACAGACCCTTAGCCAATCTAATTTTTAAAAAGGAGAAAGAAGACACAAATCAATGCAATTAGAAATGAAAAAGGGGAAATCACAGTGGACACTACTGCAATCAAAACAGTTATTAACAACTACTTAACAAATCTGTATACCAATAAATTGAAAAATTCAAAAGAAATGGATAGATTCCTAAATACATATAAATTACCAGAAGAACTGAGTGAGATTTAATGACCCTGAATATTCCACTAACAGGCAATGAAATTGAAGCAGTAACAAAAAACTTACTAAGAAAAGTGCAGGTCCATGTAGGGTCACTGCATAATTCACTACAAAATTCACAACAAAAACTTCAGGGAAGATCTCATACCAATACTCCTCAAGCTCTTTAATAAACTTGAAAGGAAAAGAGTACTCCCAAAATCATTCCTGGAAGGTAACATTATCCTGATCCCAAAACCACCAGACAAGGATCCAACCAAAAATGAAAATGATAGACCAATCTGTTTAATGAATGTAGATGCAAAAGTCCTCAGTGACATACTGGCAAACAATGCAATGTATCATCAAAAAGATGACACATTATGACCAAGAAGGCTTTATCCCTGGGATGGAAGGATGGTTCAACATACACAAATCAATAAATGTAATACATCACGTAAACAGAAGCAAGGACAAAAATCACATGAT